TTGGAGCGAAAGTTCCGGGTTTGCTTTGATCTCTTTTCGCTTTTTTCAGCAGCTAAGCAGTTCAGATCCAGCTTATGGGGCTGCTCTGTCAGGATGGGGCCTGCTTAGATGCCGTTGGTGGGACCATTGAAGGCGATCGTGTGCACGTGGCTCAGCTCGTCGGCCGCTGTGTTGCTCGGCGGTCTCGGTGGCGATTTTAGGCAGCAAGAGACGAACTGAGGCGCTTGCTCACCTGCAATGCTGAGAGTCAAACCCAGCCGCTTGGCAGAGATGGAGATGAAATGATGAGACTGCGGGCATCTGCGGGCATCTGTGTCTGTATAATGCCCTGCTTTTCCTGAGTGCTGGCATCGTGTTTTTGTTTGCTTGCTTGCTTGCTTGCTTGCTTGCTTGCTTGCTTGCCGATCGACACGTCTCTCCGGAGCAAAGACTTCGTCTTTCAGGTTGTGGTCATCGATCTCAATGGGAGTTCTGCAAGAAGAGGTTCATCCGAAGGTGGTGCTGCCCTTGGTTGGGAAGAGAAGATGCTCTGCTGTGATTCCCTTGACCCAAAAGCACCACAGTTCCCGATGGGCGGGGTCTTGACCATTGCCAATACGCATTTAGTGCAAGCAGCACTGCCAAATCACCGGCTTTGCTCGGCTAGTGTGGCATGCACCTTCAGTTAAGCTCAATCATCCATGCTGTTTTTTCTTTTCTCGCTTAAACCGAGCTTGTTGGAGTGTCCTTCGCGAAGGGATGATGTCCGGGCAAGGTCACTGGCTGAAGAGGCCGTGACAGGGGTAGCCGCCGAGCGCTTGGCGGCTGTGGCGGAGATATGGCATTTTCCAAGGATGAGTTGGACACATTTTTGGAGACCATGTTATCATATTAAGGACATCGCTACTAGGAGCAATTAAGCTACTAGGGGCTCCTGGCCTTACTACCAGGAACAAGGAAGCTACTAGGGGCTCCTGGCATCGCTACTAGGAACAAGGACGCTACGAACGGAGCAAATCTTTTATCCAAGGATGGGATGAGTTGATGGGATGGTGTGGCTCCACAAAGGTCTACATCGAACTTTCTTAATACTCCAAGAAGGTCAGGCTGTTTAAGCAATGTGAAGGACTGTGAAGGACTGGCGGATCCTTGGAATGCCAGCAGCCAGACGTTGCCAAAGCATGCAACAACTGTAGGTCCACTAGGTGAGTTTTTCCCCTCTTCTGTGAGGTTTTCAGGGAAGAGAACCGTCTGTGAGGTTTTCAGGGCATCGAATGCCGCCGTGGGGGAAGCGATGCGTGTGTGGAGGAAAGGTTGACCCGGCTGGCTACAAAAGGAACCAGCTTTGAGGGTATGTGACCAAGTAGCCAACGAGCTACCTGTACTTCTCCATTCAAGAGCCTGAGTTTGATAGCTTCTTGATGGTTGTTTTCGCGCTCAAGAAAAGCGCTACAGACCCTAGGGGCCTGGGAGCTTGTGGGGTGAAAATGCCACCACAGGTTCACATGCGCCAGGCGAGAAAAAGAACTGACAAGACCGGCTACTGGTAGGGTGGCAGGGTTGAAGATGGCTATCGAACCCATGGTGAAGCCACAGAGGATGCACCTAGTGTGGCCGTCGATATACTTGATGTCCAGCAGGATGTCCAGCGATGTCTTCAGGAAGAACTCGCTTTCCTTGAGAGTCATTCCCAGCTCCGCAGGGTCTGGCTACTTGACAGGAAGGTTACAGTAGATCCAGAGTTTGCATGAGTCACAGGTCAAAGTATGTCACAAACATCCTAAAACAATAATGAATAGGAGCATGTTTTAATCATCCCAATGAACGATCCCCCGTCATCATTTGGGCCTTTTTCCGTCACACTCCGACTTCTGAACGCATTTGTGTCAACGAAGCATGGTTGGGACGGGAAGGATGGGAATGGGAGCGATGGACATTTGAAGCGCTTTGCTTCACGTTTTTCAGCGGCTCCGCATGGAGCCGGGCCTGGAGGCCCAAGGCAGCGGCAGGCAGCGCGAGATGGATGGGACCGAAGGACAAAGAGGTGTGTGTTTTGCTTTTTTCGGTCTTGGAGCCCTTGGGTGATTGTTGGCAGCCGACCGGTTTTGCATGGCGTGATCCAATTTGTTTTGACAGTGATTGGACGTGTGACGACGTCTGTGACTTGAGGTTGATTCGGTTTTGTATACTTTGCACATTCAAAAGGATGCGGCTCTCAGTCTTCAGCTTCCCCAGTCTGTTTATCAACCAGGTCGAATCGGGACACGATCGAGGCCTCCCTCTCCAGACCGAGGTGAGAAGGAACGCCCGTCTGGGTTCGACCCGAAAGGGGGCGGATCGAGGCCTCGGTTCATTGGATGGGGCGCATGTTGATGGAAATTGGTGGTTGTTTGTATGTTGTTAGATGCTAACATTCTCAGTTACGGAAGACGGACAGATCAAGCATGCAACATACGTATACGGTATACGTCAACTGCCAATGCCTTTCGTGGTCACTTCGGTGGGTGATTGTGAGTGAGGGCTTTGGAGCTGAGAAGCAACAGATTCTGATTGATGAGCGAGTGTGAGCAGAGAGGGGCCAGGGTGGTTTTCACCTTCTGGTCGAGAAAGTTGCACCTCAAAATGCAGGCCAAGCCAGAGAAACCGGGCTTTTGAACAGTTTTACTGGGCCAATTTGGTGCAGGCCTTAGAGACCTTTCGCTTGCGTCAGAGACATGCGCAGCTTTCAGTCAGATGATGACAATAATGTATTGTGACTTATGAGCAGTGGGAACACTGGCTGGTGCAGAAGCTTCCACCTTGGCCAGCTAAATGCAGCCGAATGAAATCTTGGCACCGAGGTTGAGACTGGCCTAGTGAAGGACACAGTGCCATGTCAAACTGTGCCTGTGCCTTTCTTCCTGTCGCACTGTACCAGTATGATGAGCTTTTCGTTTGTGTGGTATGGCTTGGCCACATTGCAAGTTGCAGCTCAGCACTTACTGTATGCGCCGGAGATATTCAAGTCGTGGGATGAATGTTGCTCGAAGGACTGCGAGTGGGAGGTATTCTTAGAGTGCCCACGCCCCAGATTTCAGTGCCCAAAGCCGATTGGCTTCGCTCAAGCTTCGAATCGGCACTTTATGCTCGTTTCATCCGTTTTTAAGCTCTTGCCAAAGAAAGATGGCTCATCCCCATAGGTCCATCGGTGATTCCATGGTTCTTGGCCTCATACCTCCGGTTCTTGGCCTCTGCCAGCGGAGGCCTCTCCCAGCCGCTGCCGCTGACCCTGTGGATCACCCCCACCGATCGCTGGGCCGAGCACGTCCGCGGTGCCTGGGATGAGAAGTGAGAAGTGGCCTGCCCCAGCCGGTGGCGGTCACGGGTGCCTGGGAGGTAAGCGGTGGATAGGCTGCAGCGGCTACATTTTCTTGATGTTTCGGGGATTCTCAGGGGATTGATTTCGGGCATGAACAAATGGTTCGTCAAGACCTGCCCACCCCAAGGCTTCATGAGGCAGTACAAGGCTGAAGCCCAAGCTGCAGTGGACCAGAGGTCTGCGAACTTGGGAAGGGATCACTCCGCGAAAAAAGCAGCGCAAGAGAGAGAGAGAGAGAGAGAGAGAAAAACTCCTTCCGTGCGGGCTTTGAAGCGCTAAGAGCTTTGAGCAAGACCCACAAAGACCAATAGGGATGGGATGGATGGTTGGAGGTTCCCTTGTTTTTTACGACATGAACCGTGAAGCCAGTGGCCTACGGGTTGTTTCCCAGTGATGCAGCTGCCAGGATTTCGGTGCAACCACTGCCTTGGATGCCAGCTGACATGGGTTGGCGGGCGTCTTGGCAGAAGGGTAGTTGGGCACGGCTGGAGGCGCAAGCAGCTGGGTTCCTGACTGAATCACCAAGCTCGGAGGTCGCCAGGTTCATGTGGGCGGACATGGGGTCAGGGTGAAGGGTCCTGAAATCTAATCTACAGGTAATTGGCTTGAGGGGAACCATGACATTCATCCAACACGCGGGTTGCTCTTAGACTGCCACTGACCATGACCACCACAGACCTGCCCCGCCCCGGCGGCAGTCCAGCCAGGTGGACATTCCAAAGGCGGTGCTGCGGAAGGATGCAAAGTTCAAGTTGTTGCATGAGATGCTGATCGAGTACACCTCCAAGGCAAGCGGAAATGCCACCGTTAGCGGGTTGGGTGGGATCTGAAGGCCAAGTGGACAGGAGTATTTGTGGTGGGGGCTTCTGGATGAAACGAGCTTGAGAACCAGAAGGTAAGCAGTAGGTTTCACTAGACTAGATCCTTGCACAGCTCCAACATGCCATGCTATGAGTTACGTCAAGTTGTGGACTGTTGGGGGATGGATCATAGACTTCACAGACGGGCATTTGGTAACGCCACGCCCACGTGAGGGCCGTGTTTGATCCGAAGCCGTCCGTGCCAGGGCACCATCAATCGGATGGAAGAGGCCAGAAGGTGTTTTCGGCTTAGTCAGCACTGGCTCGGCACGTTTTGGGTGCTTCTCTTTGGAGCTGATGGTTCTGAAGAGCGACCAACAGGTAGACAAAGAATGTAGACAGTTATCATCAGTTATTTGATAATTTTTGACATAGGTTGCTCTTCAATCAGTATTTTTGTTACAGTAAACTTCTTAATATACATGTTACATGTTTGATCACTTAGGTCCCCTTGTACTTGTGAGCCACAGCCATCTCTTGCTCATGCGTGGTTCGCCATACAGAACACTTGGCTTTGTGAGATCGTATCATTCGCCGCCCTTGGCTTTACGACCACCTCAATAAACCGTCTTTGAGGGGTGTTCTTCCTCCGAGTGCTCTGTGACAAACGCCGCTTTCTGCACAAGCCGAAGCTTCGCCCGAAGTGGTGTAAAGGTGTCCGAAGCAGTCGTTGAGAAGAATTCAGAGAACGACCACGTTCACTCCCTATCTCGACCCTGCGTTCGCTCCCTTGGCTCGCCGTTCAGCTCTCTCTTTATGGGGGGACCCGGGTTCTCACCGTGCTCAACGCTCGGGAGGTGTCGATGCTGCCCGTGGCAGTACTGGACATCCAAGCAGGGCACCGCTGCTTGGATTTATGTGCTGCGCCGGGCAGCAAGACCGCGCAGATGCTGGCCAGCTTGGCACACGTCACCTGGCGCAGAGGAGGGTCTTTGGTTTGTCATGGTTTGGTCATAGCTTAGATAGGCTACGATACCACAGTGCTTGTGGCTACTTTGATAAGGAAGTTATATGAGGAAGTTGTATAAAGGCTTGGAAGTTCCCCCCTTACACTCTTTTATCTCCCTCATGACTCATGATTGTTGTAGTCTCGGGAATCTGTGCACATGACTCCCGTCCAATGGAGCCACTTTTGTTTGGGATGCACTCGTTGCCGAGGCCAATTACAAGAAGTGGGGGAGGTGCGAAGACGTCGCTCGAGCGTGTCGCAGCACCGAACGTTTGACCCATGTAGAGAGAGGGACCCCGCTCACGAAAGTCTCTGGAGCTCACCTAGCCTTGCTTGTCCTAGAAGAATCGGCACATGTCTGGATCCAACTGACCTCACGTGACACCTTGAGTGCATGTCATCAAGCACCTGGGGCCTTGCTTTAAAGCGCACCTGTCCAGCTCACTCGGCTTCCCAGCACTGAAGGGGGGGTCGATCTGAAAGGCTTCCGGACTCGGGCAGTGCCACAGGGGCTTGGAGAAGATCGAAGTGAAAGGCAGTGAGCAGTTTTTGCGAGGTCGCAGCTCGATGAACCGTTGGGCAGGATGGGCGGGTGGATCATTTCATATAATTTCAATTGATGAGAGGTGTGCAGAGGGTACAGGGTTGCCTTGACTCCCCAACAAAATACTGAGAAGGGACGAGCAGACCTGGTGTTGGTGATGCCCTTGGTTACTTCTCCTGCGTTCGACGCATTCGGCGGCCAGCTACAAGACAACAGGGGAAGATGCACCGTGACAATAATTTCAACCCATGCCAAGACAAGGAACATATGGAGAGACGAGATGATTGATTTTGATCCTTCAGAATATATAATGACCACCCAGGTGGAAAGTGCCATATCCATCAAGACAGGAGTGCTGCCAGTCTTTCTATTAGAACGAATGGATCAGTGGCCTGGTGACCACTATAGCTGGCAGGCGTTCACCAACCAGTGCTGGGGTTATACGCCCCAGCGCTTGCTGGGGCGTTCACCGATCGACGAAGGACTCATCGACCAACGGAGAACCGTCACGTCCCGGTGGCGCGGGTCGGACCGTCGTCCGGGTGCGGCGGGTCGGGACGAAGTCACGCGACGAAGGCATTGACTATTCGGGCGACGAAGGCTGTGTGGTGGCCAACGAGATCTCTGCGGAGCGAGCTGGGATGCTCGTCCATCAGATTGCCAGGCGACGTCAAGACTTCTCTGCATCCCCTTTTTTCGATGCATACACCCCAAATGACCGGCCAAACACGAAACTGAAAGGAAGAAACGCCATCCGCCTCGCAAGGCATCAGTCTTTGTATCCCTTGGTGGTCTTCACTTCCCACGATGCTCGCTACTTTCCCAGCCTCCGACGCGAAGACGGTCGCGAAGTGCTCTTCGACCGCATCCTGTGTGATGTGATGTGCTCCAGTGTCTCCTGGCTGCACCGGACGGCGCGGTCGGGCGAAACACACAGACCTGTGCCAAGCACCTTCAACATCGACTGTACACCATAGCATGGTGAGCTCCTGAATGCTCCTTCTATCAGTATACAGTATACATGTTTACTTCCGAATCCGTGCGACGATCAGCGCTGGCAGCTGCGGAGCGGCTGCTCCGGCTGTTCCGGGCATCATGTGTTCCATTGTTTGGGACTCGGGTTTCACCCCCCACCGGTCCTCGTCCGAGGATGGGACGCTGCGGAAGTCTCCGCACCTCTGGCGCGAGTGGTCCAGCCGGCTGAGCCTGGAGCTGCACGCGGAGCAGCTGGCGGTGGCGCTGCGCTCGGTGCGGCTGCTCCGGGGGGGCGGCCGGATGGTGTATAGCATCTGGACTGAGGGGTCTGACCAGTTTCTGGATTTTTTCAATGAGAGATGGAGAGAGCCGAAATTGGGTGAAATAAGCTAGTTTTGGGGTCGCTCTCTTTTTGTTCTGACAACAACTTTACAATACATCATATAGAGCTTGAACTGAACACCGGCCACCCAAAGAGGCTGGCTTTCGAGAAAGCCATGCTCGAACTGGGCCGAGACATGAAGTTGTTCCATGTTGTTCCAGTATGCGTGCGAAAGCTTCATTCAGCTGGCACATGGGAGCCCAGTGTTGAGCACCTGAACGCCAAGCCAGACTTCCGTCCCGGATAGGTTTCGGGCACACGTGAATGTTCAGGTGTAGGTTCATGCCAGCACAATCAACCTTCAAACAAAAGAAGCAAAAGCTTGATCTCGCGAGAGTCGGTTCGATTCCACCACTGCTTCAACCAAGGCACCTGCAGCCTATCTCCCGTGGAAAACGAGGCGGTGGTGGCGGAGATCTTGCGTGCGGCTCCATGCTTGGAACCTTGTCTGCAAATCCGGCTCACCTGCGAATGATTTTGGAATATTTTGGGAACCGACAACGTGTTTGTCTTGAACACTAGTAAAGTCTTGGGGGTCTTGGATGGTTGCCAACGACAAGCAAGCATTCCAGACACTTTGTGTTTGTTGAACTTGGACTTAGAATGCCTTACAACAATAAGAACACTTCAACTTACGATATCACATCTATTATATTCATTGAGTGTAACCTTGAATGAATTGCTTTCTGAACACGTTGGTTTCAGCGGGGTGCAAGTTCTGCATCATCGAACCCAACGAGTCCGAGGCTTTGCTGGATGTGCGAGAGGAGCTCACCCTGCGGACTTCTCCGGGCTTGGAGACCTGGAAGGCATGCCAAGGGCTGCAGTTGTTTGAAAAGCGAATGTAGAGCGGTGGCCATGGCGCCATGGCCATCCCTAGGTTTGGACATGTCATGGATTTAGGAACTCATCGATTAGGCTGAAATTGAATGGCCGGTCACACACGTCGAATCACGTCGATCCGGAGTTTTCGGCGCTTATAAAAACACTGGGGACGTCTCAGTCTCAACAAGAGTCGTAAGGAGTTAGCAGGGCATCTGACTGTGTATCTGGCTTTGGGGCATTTGTTGGGGCATTTGTTGGGGCATTTGTTGATCTGGGTCCAGATGGTCAAGTTTCAGGGTTGGCTATCCACAAGCTCTTGGGGCCCCGACCGGGCAGTCCCTTAAAAGCTTTGCCTGGTGCATGCGATCGCCTGTGCATGTGTGGTTTCACCTGGTTTCCAGGTGGCTCACCAGGGTCAGCTCTATGAAAGCCATGCGGCCGCCGTGGCGGCGGGTGTCAAGCTCCAGAGAGGACGGGGGAAGCTTTCAGCTCTTGGACATAGCTCTCCAAACACACCCGGCTGAAATGGTGGTAAAGCATGGTATCGCAAGAGGTGACGAGGGAAATGATGGGACATGCTCTGAAGCTGCTTAGACGCAAGAGCTTGGGCCCAAGCATTTGTCCAAATATCCCCCTCTGTTCAGGCAATAGACTTACTGTATGTGGGGGATCCCTCCGCAGCGGAGGAGTCTTTCCGCCCGCTGAAAGCGGGCTCGGGCTGAAGAAGTGCCTTCGTATTCTGCCACACCACAATGATACTGGAGGCCCGATGGACAGAAAACTGGGAAACACAGGTGATAGCATCCGATGGTCTCGGTAGATGCAGATGGTCTCCTCAGCCGTCTGGTCCAGGTTGGGTAACAACCACCTGCTTTTTTGCGCACGAAAGCATGATGTTTGAGGAACGAGGAAAAAAACCACTGTTGCATGGCCCGATTCGCTCCTTCGCCCGGCTCGCCAGGCTTCTTCATCGCAGTACCTTGCCAGAAAAAAGCGAGCTCTTTCGCTTTGCTTCATTTCCCCCGGTCGGGTCGGGTCGCCGCTGAAGACGCGAGCGACGGATCGAGGTCTTTGAAAAGGTGGCCGCGTACGTGGCCAAGGGGGCGGAGGTGGCCGACGCGGAGACGATCCGTGGATGCTCGTTCTGCATGGAACATTTTGCAAGGGTTGGCATTGGCATGAAGCAAGGCATCAGTTCGTTGCGTCATTGGACGATATGTTTTCATGGTCCTTCTACGTCCTTATCGTCTTCTGTGTGCTTGAGGGTGGACTCGGTTCAGGATACCCGACTGTGCTAGTCGATGTGTTGGTTCTCACCAAGGCTATGACAGCGACCGCGATGAGGATGGTGAAGAGGAAGAACGACAGAAACAGCTTCAGAAGTTGGAGCAGGTGACTTACATGCACAAAGGACCAAGGTCTACCGGTCTTTAGGTCCAGTCCCTTCTTTTTTCCGGACTGAGGCGGCGGAGCGCTCATGCAGCGCGCAAGAGCGGGCAAAGGCTGAGGCGCGGCGAGAGCGAGCCAGGAGCGGGGGGGGTGTGATGGGCGATAGGAGGGAACCAGGAGAGGTTGGTAAAATCCAGGTCAAAACCGGGTGGGTCAGCTTGACGATTATTTGGGCGAGAGCTCCAGGGTCGATGCAGCTAATTTGCGCCTTGGTCGTCCACTTTTTCATTAAAGGCTGGAACAGCTGTCACTGGAGTGCTCTAGGATTGCTCGCAGTGGCCTGTGGCGGATGAGATTTGTCCCTTCAAGCCAAGCCAAGCTCACAAGATTTCGAGAAGCGAATGCAGAGAACATGACCTTGCCATGCTGTCAGTACCACTAGGGCAGAGCAGGATGAGGACTGGTAGGTAGTCATAGCTTTCTACTTCAGGTCCAATCTAGGAGGCGCCACCCTCATCGCAGCGTGGAGACGACGCCCGGAAGGTTTTTCATCCCAAGCCTCGCTTCTGACGGTGGGTGCACCACCTGAGGACCTCGGGTTCGCTGGCGCGGGAACTGGCACGTTACAAGTGCCTTGCTTCGATGCCCGAGCAGGCTGGACGCCAAGAGGGGAGCGGTTGGTAGGTGGCGATAGACACTTGGACAGACACATGCCTTCTGAGGCGGGAGTTCAGAGATGAGATACTGTATCAGATATTGATCCGCTTTAGTATGCTTTAGTAAGGTTCCTGGCATCCACCTCTTGTGTGAGACCAGCGCTGGCAGATGGGGTCTCAAACGGAAGGTCTCCCGCTTTTCAAGTCTCTTCCATTGACATGAAAAGACCTTTCTGCTGTGAAAGCTCTTGTGCAGCTCGGTGCAAAAGAACTTGTCTTTCAGCTCGCCAGGTGTGTGCGCTTCGAGCCTTTTATGGCTTGCATGAGAGCTTCCCTGTGCAGCTCTTCTTCAGCCGCCATCACTTGCAGCTGATGGCAGATGGAGAGCTGGTTCAGACGCACCAAGGTGAGGTGGTTTGGGCATCCGCAGAGGGAGATTTACCGAGATTTACCCGTGCCAGTTGAGCTTCAGCGTTCTGTTCATTTTTGGCACCTCAGTTTTTCTTTCGCAACCCCTTTTTTTCTTGTTGTGGCTGATGAAGATCACCTGCACCAAGAATCTCCTGACATTTGCACACAGTTTTGTTTACCTTACCTGATGTCAGGGTCTGGAGATACTGAGATACTTTGCTTTGCATGTTTGTCTCTCCAGGCGAGGCAAACCAACTTCTCCTGCTGGCCGCGGCGGCGGCTGAGGTGCTCTGCTGCGGCACCGGCGAGCACGCCAAGCGGAAGCTGAAGGTCATCGCAGGTGGCCGGTCGGCTGTCGCCGCCAGTCCGCCGGCTGTCGGATCTTCACCTTGGGGTCGCAGCTGAGTGAATGGAGCGACCATGAAGACTCCAGCTCTTCGATCAGTGTCTCCCAAAATCTGGATGTTAATCTGGATGTTGTAGACATTTTGGTATATTTCGGTGTGGTATGCCTCCGTGTCTGTCGCAGTCCCATTTCGACCTCCACACCGGAAAAAGGGGCCCTGGCCCTACTCGAAAGGTGGCCTGCGTGCCTTTGAGAAAGACCGTTTCGAGGTGGCCGAGCGCTCCACGTCCTTGAGGCGGGGGTTGGATTTTTGTATGTGGAGGTATGCTTTTGGTGTATTTAGAGGTGTTTCGGTTCGGTGTTTCAGGGGTTTCTCAAGAATCAGTTTCACAATCAGAGTGAAGGGTTCCTCACAGCTGGTTTGAACTTCTGGTATTCCACTGTTGGAACCTTTTTAGATGACGCCTAACGGGTGTTTCTTTGGAGACTGCTTGCACCCTGTCCTGGACCTCGCGACACGGAAGAGGCTGGCGCAAGAGGCTGTGGAGCTGCTGGCGCCTTACCTGGGCCTGCGGGTGGTGACGCTGGAGGATGGAGCGGCCGACTGACCGGGTGGGTGTGACGGACGTGTGACGCGTTGGGGTGACCGGATGAGACCGGGTGATGTCTTTTGGATTCGCCCGGAGAGGTCGTGCTCATGAAGACATGAGAGAGGGTGATGGATCTTGATGGATTGACCAACGATGCACCAGTGTGGCTGAGAGGCTGAGACGTAGCAAATACTGGAATGTAGTGAAGGTAGTTAGGGAGGACGTGGCAGAAAAGGGGAAAAGCTCAAGCAGCATCAGCAGCTCACTGGTGCCTGGAAGGATGTGGCTGATACGCATCGTTTGCTGAGCCAGCGGGACGCTGCGACTGCAGCGTTGGTGTCGGCTGGGAAGAGTCAACTGGAAGAGCTGGGCGCAGGCGTGGCGTCCGAAGTGGAGTCGAGTCTGCCCAGATGCGGAGACGCAAGAGCCCACATGTGCTGCCGGTTTGAAGGGATGCTCGCACCTTTTTGAAGCTAATGTGGGATTCTATGGTCGGTCGATCACAGATGTTTCGACCTTCATCGAAATCGGCTCCAGCTCCGTTGGTTGGGGGTCTCCGCATTGGACAGTGACTGAACCACCGCGAACATCGACCTCTGCGGTGTGGCGACCCCTGGCTCCGACTACCTGCGGGCGACCCGGGCCGAACCGCGCCGACTCGAACCCGCGCCGGTCGTGCACGGTGCTGACCTCACTGGCGACCTGCCGTCGGCCAGGTGGCTGTGTCTTGTTGTTACGCACCACCTCCGGCACCTTGGCTCTCTCCACCCGCCCTCCGGTGGGATCGATCGGTCGAGCTCGGTGTTTGAAAACCGGTCGGTGCCATGGCACGCACGCGCCGCGGTGCTTCGAACCGAGGAAGTTGGCTGGCTGTTTCGGCCTTGCGAACACGAAAGGCTGGGAGACTTAGAGACTTAGCTCCTGGGTCCATGTCATGTCATTTCTTGTTTTGATGATGAGAGAAATGAAGACTCCAAGAGAGGTTATCCAACCAAACATGGCGCCCGGGTTGTTCAACCTCTATCGGCCTCACACGGCTATCGGCCGTGTTTTTGGACATGCGGCCGAGAACACATCCCTTCTTGCCCTTCTAGGCTCTCTGTGAGCCTAGCGATGAGTTTGGTATGACCATGAGGCAGTAAGCCTTTTCGTGAACGACCTGATGATGCCTTCGATGCGGCAGGCCAGTGGCGAAGAGAAAGGGGGGAAGCGTCGGGGATGTTTGAGACTGGAGTCGAGACCTCCCAAAGAGACCTCCCTGCCCAGCGTCCAGCGTCCCTCACTGCCCATGTGTTGAGGCCTGCGGTTTGCCTGCAGCCTTGCAAGCAGAGGAAGCTGAGAAAAGGTTTGTTTCTGCACGATTTCAGGGATTCGAGGTGGACAAGCGTCCTATGAAAGTTGAGCGAAGTTCAAGTTCTTATTGATAGGAACAATAGGATATTTATTTTCTTGTCTCAAAAATGAGTTGAAAAGTGCAATGGTCAGATCGAGCTTGTTGAGATGAGCGACACCCTGGTGCCACGCAGCTGTTGTGCTCGAGCCAAAGAGCTTAAAGAGCAAATGATATTTGAAAAGCTCATCCAAGTTTCGAAGAGGAAGTGCATGAGAAGCTTAATGGCCAGATGCTAGCCGCTGCTAGCCTACAATAGGAACAAGAGATCGCTGACTCGATCTCAGCATCGCAGGGTTTTTAAGCCCTTTCCAGCTCAGAATCGCACATTCCACTACTCACCTCTACAAGTCTTAACTAGGCGCATGCCGCAGAGCAGACCGGAACCTCCCCGACCAACGGGGTAGCAACCTAGCAACCACCAAGCTAGCTAGCCGTAGCCAAAACGGCCTTCCCGGGTCAAGCTTTTGGATCCTGAGAGGCGATGGCGCAGCCAGCCGCTGCGACCAAGGATGGGGTCGCAACTGTCAACCACGGAAAAGAGCGACCGACTGATGTTCATCAGCTTACTACATGCTCACTTCTGCATCAGCGATAGGAGCCAGATTCTTTAGATTCTTTTGGTAAAATTATGCAGAGGGTTTAAGTAAACAACTTTGTCCGCACTCACAAGTTAACTGACATCCTACATGTGTAAGATGCAAAAGTTCACACTTTTGTTCGAAGCACATGTCATCGAGTTTCAGCATTTTCCCGCTTTTCTCACAGCACAAAGTGTAGGGGCCACGCCCGGCCAATCTTTTCATATCTTTTCATCAAGCCTACGTGACTGTGTCTAGAGCAGTTACCAAACATGGAAGACAAGGTCTCATAGCGGTTCACCAGGAGAACAATCTGGCTTGCTGTTGTTCTCCTTCGTCACGATGTAGCAATGACCGTCTTTCGTGGCTTTGTGTGGTTTTAGCAATATAATTAGTACCTTTGGTTTCTACACAGCAGCTGTCTTCCGGATGTTCCAGCGGCCACCTCTGCATGTCCTCTTTCTTTGGTTCTGTGGTCTTGGTTTGTTTGGGTCATGCTCATACGTGAGTATTGAGTGCGAAGACATCATTCCGAATCGTTCCCATGTTCATCACACCCAGCAGCCCAGCGACCAGTCCAAGCACCCAGTCCAAGTTGAACGGCCTTTTCCGGAGGTGTTGTTTCAACCAGAGTCGCGCAGGGTGCTGGGAGGTGTCGGGACGGCCCAGCGGCCGCCCGAGCCGGTTTGGCAGGACTTTGAGCCCTTGCAAGCCGCGCCCGACGTGGGCTTTTGGCAGGAGCTGAGCCAAAGGAAGCTGGACCTGTGGCGTGCCTGGACCGAAGACCCTGGTGATGGCGACGGTGGGAGGGGGAGTGACCTGGATTGGGGTCAGAATTTGTTCTGCAATCCCACCTAGAGATACCGAGAGTCGAGAGTGAACATTTTTGAATTCTACTCGGCGAGCCACAGAATTTACCGTTAACCATCTCTGACGGGTTATCCATCCAGTGACCAAAACAAAATTGGGTGGGATGGGCATGTCTCAAAATAGGGAGGACGTTTTTGAGGACCGAGACCCCTGGAGAAAGTTCGGACATGAAACCCACACCATTGAGATCGTGCTGCACCTCCACCTCTCACCAAGTCAGGCCTGGACTCCTCCAATGTGCCGGTCACGGCCTTCTACGAAGCTTCCCAGGCGCCCGGAGACGTTGGGAACACAGGCGGAAGTTCCACGGAGACGTTCGTGCCTGGGTGTTGGGAGACGTTTTCGGGTTGCTTTTGGACCCCTTTTTCCATGGTGATTGCTCTTATTGAACTTTGTGGGGTGCGGTAGATTCAGTACTCAGTATCGGTGGATGATGGATCTGCTGTGGATGTTGGGGTCGGTAGGCCTCACGACATGGTTTGCTTGAGGAGCATCACGAGTTCCATGCGTTCTGGAACACATCTAGATGAATGTAGGAGCGTTCGGTACACGTTCGTTCCTCTGAACCTTTGTGAGGCACCGGTCGTCTTCTCCTGCGACAGGTTCGTTCTGGAGGAACTGTTCACTTCCTCCGAATTCCCAGGAACCAGTACAAAGAGAAATCCGACCACAGAGGTTTCTGGACCAAAGAGTGCCTTCTACCAGAGGTTTCTGGAAGCCTCCATGGTCTTATTTTGGGCGAACTCAAGACCCTACAATAGTTCTCTTTGGATAAAAACTCCTATCCAAACCACCCTGGTGGAGGGACCCTGTTTGTCCCTTCTAGGTTAGTTTGGCCAACCGGCGTCGCCTCCGACCTGGTTTCAGGCCTCAAGGGTTCCTGCGAAGTGCTTCTTGCAGAAGGACGCCTTTCAAGACACACGTGTGCCAGTGGGTGCCGTGAAAGTGGTGGGGGAATTGAGACTCGGCATGTGAAGAAGCTCCGGGGCCGCCAGGAGTGACTCCTCGAGAGCAGACATTGCAGTGAAACGTAGTGACGCATTCAGAGAGCGTTGTATTTGCAGCAGGAAAGGGACAGTAACAAGAATCTACTAGCGGCTCCTGGCATCGCTAACGCTTCCAAGAGCTCCAGCGCTCCACTGTGGAGGCATTCATGCCTTCTAGAGTGAGCGTTGTGACGACACTGATCTGTTGACACAGCGCTCTGAGGAAGAACTTCAACACCGAGGAGGAGTTCCGTGCATTCTTGGGGAATGCGGATGCCAGGCAGAGCTGCTTGGCAGAGGCGCGGGAGATTCGTGGCATCCACAGGGCAGGACAGTTGTCTAAGAGCACGCCCCTGGCGAAGCTCTCAATCTTCCTGATTCTGGTGCCCCAACCCCTCCCTGCTCTACCGCCGCGATGCCCGCGGTTTGTCCTTTGGGGAAGCAGATCAGTTTTTGGTCATTCTTGACCATCCCTCACAATGTGATCTCATATATGGATTTATTTTTGTTGAGATCAATCCCAGCCAAAGCAACCTGAATAGAATAAGAAGCAACCTCAGTTGGGAGCATAGAGAAACAACCTGAACAGTACTGCATTTTGGGGATTTAGGAGGCTGATGCAAAGTGCAAGGTGAGTTCTGGAATCAACAAGCGGTTCCACATGGCACATATAACTTAACTCCTCAATCATCTTGCATGATCTTTGAGCACCTAGCTAACCAAAGATAGGAGAAGCCTTTGGTTGACTTCTCAGGCAGATGCAGTTTTCGCTCCTGGCGGCTCGTGCCAAAGTGGCACACACAAACTGACCCCTGCTTTCCGGTTGTACCCGAGCGGTTCGTACGTCGCCAGGCGGTGGCGCAAATCTCGAGCGCGATCGCGTCGGGCAAGGCGCTCCAGGAGCCTTGGCAGTTGAGGCTGGGATGGTGGGTGTCGATTTCGAGAGCTGCCGGATGATTTTTTTTTGCTGTTTGGATGTTGTTGGAGGTGTTGGAGGTCGGGATGGGGGCGAAGTGATATTGTTTTTGTTTTCATGAGTTTGCAAGCGTTTTCCATACAATTTCCTAGACTTGATCCGCCTCGATCCGCGCCGACGGCGCGTGCTTTTCCTTGCCAGGCGGCTCCTGCTGTGTAGCTTTGCTGATCTCAAGAAGTGGCTTGGTGAAGCGGTACTCAGGGCATGCTAGTTACTAGAACTGTGCAGAACTCTCAAGCAGGCCGTGCTTTTGCAGAACTCTTGACTTGCAAAATCGATGGAAAAATGCCTGCTTGCGCATGTCCAAACTGTCCAGACCTTCACGCGTTTCAAACACCTTGAGCACCCCGAGAACATAATCTTACATGTATGATCTTGCACGACGAAACGTTCCCGATTGTTTTCGCAATAAGTAAGGACATGCTCAGACTCGTTTCTCTTCTCAGGTACCACTATTCCTACCTCTTAACTTTGCCGGCCTTGAAGACGCCAAAACCCTGGCAGCGTGTCAGAGAGCCCATCGAAGATTTGGGCCCCGAAGTACTGGCGCTCGTGGCTAAAGGCTTACGCACCTTGGCGAAGAACCCAAGCACGAAGGGATGCTGGTGACCCATACAAACATACTTTGCTGGTTGACATCCCCCCAAACAGACAATTTTTCCTGGGTTCAAATCCTTTGGAACCAGACCGGGTCAAAAGTTCAGACCGTGTTTTTCTTTGTAGTGGAGGTTGGCCGGGTGGAGGAGGTATTCTTTTGGGCAGATGAGGTCCCATCCTGGGTCCTCACGCATTACGTACGTGAGTATCGTACATTGACCAGCAGAATGCAGCTACATGAGGCCAGTCATGCGGTTCGACATCAACGCCCCCGTTTGGGTTCTGACATTGCTGAGGTGAGAAGGACTTTGATGGACTTTGCCTTCTGACACGGGCGGCCGATGTGGGCTGGTCCTTGCGGCCGATGGCAGACTTGCTGAACGTCAAGGCCTTTTGAGTTTTCACGAAGGCATCGGAACCATGTAAAAGCAAAGGAGTTTGTTCTGAGGGATGCGAAAGGATACAATAGGTATCCCAGGCATCCCAAAGAAGATCCGCACGGTCGTGACAGGTTGAATCAGAAGATGATCTCATCCTTGTCTTTGTGGACCCCTCCTCCGAGGAGCTCGGTTTTTCCTCCTGCAGACGTATCCTTGGCATGGAAGGCGACCTTATAAAACTATATATGTATGTAATCCAGGGATATTCGTGAGTTGCTGGATTATTTTGTGTGCTGAGGTATGTAGGGGGTTGGAGGCGATCCTTTGGATTACTGTAGTTCTTCTTTTTAAACCTTTAAGTTATTGATAGATGTTCAATTAATAACTGTTTCCAAGGTGTTTTTGAATCTGGATTAGATACTTGTCAAGAACTATTCCGTGATGTCAGCCTCGTTTCTCAAAACAACTGGAGGTTTCCAGAGGGGTATGCGCGATCTAAGGGACCTGCCATTCCTTCACATTCTTGAGAGGAGCACTGTAGGGTGAAGGCAAGTGTGTAATCTTTGCAGCACCATGTCGGCCCGGTGTTGTTGCTCCCTTTTCGCACCTGAAAAGCGCCCGCAAAACCAACAGTGTCAACACCAGGAGGCTCCGGCCTGGTCGTTGCAGAATGCCCTGGTGCTTCTGGCCAAGCATCGGCCTGGCCGACGGCGCGTCCTGGCCTTCCGTGGCTTGGAGAAAGGCGTCACCGCGCCGTTTGCCGAACGGATGGGTCGTTCGAGGGCGGAACAGTTTCCGCCCAATGGGACGAGCGAGACACATGGTCATCATCGTCAAGGTCTACAGAAATATTTTTCTAATCCATGGAAGAGCGGGACGGTGATGCGTACGTCAATTTTGGTGCATGCCACGCAGACATGAACCGAGCATTTGGACGAACGGAGGACGACAAGCGAGGAAATGGTTTACGAGTTCAAGTTGTCTACTTTCACTCTGCTTCTGTGGAGTCATGTTTTACCACTTACAGTGTGGGGCCAGCAGCTTCTCATCAGGTTATATATATATGTATAAATATAAATATAAGCTCCTGCAACTAGAGTCGTCGGGTCTCATCTCGGGATTCTGCCAGTTCTTCTCAGATTCCCCAAAGCCGAGAGTTTGCACAGGACCAGTGGCCAAGTGACCACAGGATCTCTTCCCTTCTCAACTCAACAAGTCGGAGGTTGAGGATCCAACAGGTCAGTGTCTTGGTTCGCAGCTGAGGAGACCCACAGCTGGCAGGAGCCTCTGGCTACACCTCTTCAGGCATGGTGGATGAACACGCGGAACGCAGACATAGAAGGTCAGAGGTTGTGTGGTGACCGCCATGCATGATGGGCAGATGACCATGGGTGTGGAAAGGGATCTGCAAGTACTGTATCATTTCTTTCCAAAACATACGACGTGGCAAACCCGTGTCACATCTGAAGCCCACACCTCACCCAACTCTTTAGAAGATGGGGAGACCTCACCTCACCTATTCTTCCACTAGGTTTTCCATGCATGCAGAACTGCAGGGGATTTAGGAGTAGGGCCGTAGACGGGTGTCTCAGGGAAGGAATCCCCTTGACCCTCCTCGCCGCATTCGCCCGATTTGGGGTGCCCACATCAAAGTCCACCCTCCGGGACTCCGGGACTAGCCGGGTGACTGCTGGACCCCACGCGGACCCGCGAGCTCGCGGGAAGGTCCCCAGCTCCGTTCCCTGCTCTTCCGCTACGCCTTGGATGCTGAGATGGAGTCGTCTGGTGACTGCCGTGCTGGCTGGTCGATGCTCAGCCAGATGGCCGGGACCCACGGGACCCGGGACCCACATGGCGGTCAAGACCAAAAGCTCCAAGGGACCATGGTAGATTCACATGGCAAATGATGGTCGGCTGACCTGCTTGGTTCATTTTTGAATCTATGCCTTGGCTTAGGCTTAGGGGTCAACGAGGTCGTGAGGTGCCACCCACGACCCACGACCCCATCTCTCCACGACTGGTGGAGCAGACCTCTGCCAGGGCACTCATGGCACTCATGGCTCTCATGGCTCAAGGAAGATTGCCACGGTGGACCTGACGCGTTTCCTGGACTCCAAGATGGTGGCGGCTGCTCTGCCGCGGTGTAGACAGTGGGCTGGGGTGGGCTGGGGTGTTGTGATCTCCGTGTGGTGGCCTGTTGTGGCCGTCCGCTTTCGGGAGAAGGAAGTCTTTGCAATTATGACGTACTGCGTATCTGTATCATGTTAAGAACCACGGAAAACCACTCCTTGGCTGTTGGCAGTCACTGGCCTTGCCCATTGTTGTTCAAACACGGTTTCATTGAAAAAGAACACCTATTTAAAGATTTTAAAGCCGGACAGTTTTCTTGTCCAGTACGCACCCCACCTGCAGACCAAGCTCATGACGTGACAAAGACCACTGGCTCATAGAGGCAAGTTGTGCAAGTTGTGGCGCTCAAGAACTCCATTTTCATTGAGTCCAAAGCACATCACCTTTCGGGGATTTGCAGGTTTCGGGCTTTCAGGGTCTTTCATGGGTTAAAGTAACTTAAAACCGATGTTTTCATTTTCACCCGACCTTCCGTGGAGACGGAAGGGATCGAACCAGGCTAACGCGGTGGATCTCAACATCAAGTTGATGAAGTGGCGGGTGCTGCCGGGCTTGGAACCTGACCGACTCAAGGAGAGGTTGGCTTGGATGGGTGGGAGGGGCAGAAGATTCGCATGACCATGTGCATACCACAAAGTAAGAGTGTTTTTCGATTGCAGAACTTTTCACGAAAGCTAGCATGCTAGCTGAGTTCTTCTTTGTAGCAATTGGTAGTGGAATGAGCTGCGCGCCCTAAAGCTTGATATATCACACTAAGGGGGGGGGCCTGGCCCCCCCACTCTAGCGTGATATATCACGCTAAGGACCCCCCCCCTCCCCGCGGTTCAACTCCCAGCTGCAGGCGTTTTGGCATTAGTGGAGGTGTTGTTACATGTTGGAAATTGTTGGTGTTTTGTTTGGTATTTTGGATTTTGGGGTGTGCGTTCAAAACCAGGATGTCAAAGACATCATGCACTTGAATTTTGGATGATCTTGGATAGCGGAAACACATGTAATTATTGGAGAATCAAGATGACACTCATGGGATTTTGCCAGCGTCTTTGCAAAACATCCACTGATTTAGTGTTTGTATTTAGGATTCATTGACGAGCTTTGTCGGAAGCATGGTCAGCTTCGTCGGAAGCATGATCATTTGCTCGTTTTTGTCTTGTGGATGCATCACATAACATTTCGGCTGCGCCTCGTCAGTTGATGAATCTTCATTACCTGAGAGCAAAGTGTTTGAAGTTATATACTGTCTTGGACATGTGTGGTTTGGCAAAATCACGAAAGCTAGCATTCTAGCTGAGTTCTTCTTTGCCTTAGCAATTGGTGGTGGAATGAGCTGCGTGCCTTAAAGCTTCATATATCACACTAACCCCCCCCCTCCCCCACCCCACGGTTCGACTCCCAGTTGCGCCGTGTAGCGGGGGTTGGTTGAACGTGTGAACGTGGTTGGTTGGTTGGGTGTAAACGGTGGCTTGGTGTAAACGGTGCTGCTGCTGCCGCTCTGCTGCTTGCTGCTGCCGTTTGCTGCTGCCGCTGGTTGCCGCTTTTGTAGCTGCTGCTTTGCTACTTGTTGCGGCTTGGTGCTGCTGCTGCTGTTGCTGACGACGCCGCTGTTGCTGCTGCTTGCTGCTGGTGGTGCTGCTGCTGCTACTGCGGCTTGGTGCTGCGCTGCTGCTGCGTGGTACTGCTGGCTGGCTGCTGGTTGGTGGTTGCTGCTGGCTGCTGGCTGCTGGCGGCTGCTGCTGCTGCTGCTGCTGCTGGCTGCTGCTTGCTGCATAGGACTTGCACTTCACTGTTACAAGTTCTTTACCCCTATTTCTAAGCGGGTGGTAAATTTACCACCCAGGTTTGCTATAACCATACACCGGCTATTTCCTCAAGACACTCTATTCCTGATACCTTTTACCAATGCTTATCCTACACTACGGACGCCCTAGTGTATGCACAGTCCTTGTGATGCTTACCCCTCGTTCCGGCTCAAGGCATACATAAGCGGGGGGTAAATTTACCCCCCAGATCTGCCATAACCATAAGCCGGCTATTTCCTCAAGACATTCTACTCCTTATACCTTGTACCAGTGCTTATCCCACACTACGGACGCCCTAGTGTATGCACAGTCCTTGTGACGCCAGAAATGCTTACCCCTCTTTCCGGCACAAGGCATACATAAGCGGGGGATAAATTTAACCACCAGATTTGCAATAACCATAAGCCGGCTATTTCCTCAAGACACTTTATTCCATATACCTTTTACCCGTGCTTCTCCTACACTACGGACGCCCTAGTGTATGGACAGTCCGTGTGATGTCAGAAATGCTTACCCCTCGTTCCGACTCAAGGCGTGCAAAGGCGGGGGGTAAATTTAACCCCCAGATTTGCCGATCACGCATCTTCGTGCCTGCCAACGAGTGCACCCGTGTTGTTCCAATGTACCCTTCCCAGTCGGCGATGTCACCTTTACATTTTTTAGCGCAAAGTATGTACGTAGCAACCTTTCTCCCAAAACATGTAATCACTACTACATGCTTTGCCGACTATGTAACTAGTACATCCGGTGCGATTCGGCTAGCTTTCGACCTCCTGCCCCTGGCCTCAAGTCGGCCCTCTGGAGTCCGGAGCCATGCTCTCCAAGCTCTGTAGGTGTGTTTTTGTTTTCTAGCTTCCGACCATGCTTTGGACACTGTTGCTGCTGCCGTGTTGCAATGCCTTGCACAAAGCCTTCCACAGTCGAGTCGAACTGCGGCAAGCTGTCTTTGACTGGTCGAGGCGGGAACTCATAAGAGTCGAAGTACGTATACCGTAAGCCAGGCGTAGCCAGGCATCAACCAAACAGCTAGCTTCATGATTTCATGTTGTCCTGGATGATAGAAAGAGCAAATTGCTCTCCTTCCCAGCTTCCAAACAGATGGTCATTGCCCTTTGCTGTGATTCTTGCAGCTTCGAGAGGCATAGTCCTGGCCGACAGAGGATTCCACAGATCTATGGAGATATTGCTGACTGGGATGTCTCGGAGGTCACGGACATGAACCACCTTTTCGACGGATTGTTTGACATCAATGAAGATGCCAAGCAAGAATCATTGTTGGCTGTCTTGCTCAGTGCCATAAGTGGTGCCACTCAGTGCAGTTTCATATCTCTCATGTACGGCCAGACAACAAGGTAGCCACTCTTGCCCTCCTGTTAACCGTTAAACTGCCAAAGCTCAAATGCCTCGGAACACTCTCCGCTCTGATTCTGAGGACGTATCAGCCTGGAACACGTCGGCAGTGACACGCAAGGACGGCGTGTTCTGGAATGCCACTTCCTTCAACCAGCCGATTGGCT